ATGTTTTTTTTTAAAAAAAAAAAAAAACAATAACTAGAAAAACCTTTCTGGTTTTCTGGAGTGGTGATATGATTAAGCACATTCCTGAGTTTTTGGTATTCCCTCCCCCCCATTGCTTTTCTTTTCAGAGAGAGTGGAAGGGATGGAGAGAGAGAAAGAGGAAGAGAGACACATCGATTGGTTGCCTCCCACACATACCCCGATGGGGGCCAGGGATCAAGCCTACAACCGGGGTACAAGCCTTTGACCAGAATCAAACTGAGACCCTTCAGTCTACCAAAGAGTTTAAAGCAAATTTCTCTTCTGGGAGGGTACAATCATTGCAGCTTCTGAGGCATCATTTGGAAATGACTTATTGACATGCCCCCTTTAAAAAAAACCCTTTGCTCCACTTTCACCTCTGAATATCTCCACTCTCACAAGGAAGGCCAAACATGCTCAGAAAGTGTCCTAGCAGTTGAAAAACCAAACTGTAATCAAATTATAATAGTCACACAGCTGGAACTGAATTGGGGAGGGGGAATGAAAGCCCATTAAAATGCTATAAAATGGAACAGCACATATGCTGATGTAATCAAGGTTGGTAACAAGGATCATGAGATTGATCAAAAATAAAGAACCATTTCCTACAAAATGTTCGCATCTGTGTCCCACCAGCTTAAATGTCTTCTTCTGCTAAAGCACTGTAGCCCAGTGTAACAGAATTTTCACAGGCAGCTGAGCCCAGGCAAGATGACACAGCCTGGCCTGGGTCCCCTGGATGCTCCTGCTCCCCGTCACGAAACAGCGACCAGCCACACCACACTGATGAGAACTGACAACACATGACAGAGAGGTGTCCTATGTGGGAAACAGTTATGGGAAACAGTTATCTGTTTTCCACGACCTCCGGACAGACTGCCAAAAAAGATGTTAACTATTTCAACCCCAGAAATTCTGCTAAGAGATAACCCATTAAAAAAAGAAAAGAAAATTGTACACTAAAACTCATCGACTGGAGAGAAGAGGGTTTCCATTTTCAAAACAAACTTCTGGAAGCCAATACAAAAGAAATCTATAGTAGGCTCTCCAATTAGACTTCCTGATATGCTCGGAACTCCCTACAGCTTTAATCCAAAAAGAGAGGAACAAAAAAGTGAACTTGCTGAAAATGAAAAGTGAGGTTGGCCAAGTCTGTGCCCGACGGAATGGAACACGAAAGTCAAACAAAGTGGCGCACTGCGTGAAAATTAATTTCATCTTAAATACTTTCCACTTTCATAACCTGCAATGTTATTAGTAACAGGCATGCTGGGGGTGTATTTTTAAATGTAATCTTTGTGTGAATAATACCTCCCTTAT